ATCGCATGATTATTTTGATAAAAGAAAAACATATGTTTCAATCCGTTAATACTAGTTGTTTCATACGTGACAGCGACATGTTTCAACGGGTATCTTCACCATGTTTCATAAAATATTTAAACGTTTCAGTTGCTGATTTTTTGTTTCACTTGTTGGTCAACTGCAACATTTGACCGTCCGATTTTTTTGGCATCGGACGTCCGATGGGTAGCTTCCTCCTAAGAGCCCCTTTGAATTGGAGGAAAAACATAGTAATTTTGGAGGATTTCAATCCTATAGGAAATTTTCCTATAAAGCCCTTTGAAACAAAGGATTGAATCATATCCAATCCTTTGAAATTCCTATGGAATGGACAATCCTATAGAAATTTTGGAGGAAATTTAGCAAGATCAACCTCTTGGTAACTTTCATTTGAGTCTATCCCTCTCATCCAATTCCAGTTTAATCAAACGGTCATTCCTGTGTTTTTCCTGCGTTTTAAAATCCTCTGTTTTACACTTGCATTCCTATCAAAATCCATTGTTTTTTCTATTCCTACGTTTTCTCAAAGGGGCCCTAATAGTTGTTAAAAAATGTTCTTTAACGGCTTAACCTGATCACAATAGATGATAATGGTCTATTGTTAGTGCTAGCAACGGTGATCAAATTTCAGTCCTCTAAAAAAAATCTCCATGCTACTGGGTGGCACAGAAGATCCAATCTTCAGTTGATGTCGCCCTTCAGACTAAGTAAATTGGTACGGCTCTCGATGTACTTGTGTTGCCAGCCAATGACAAGGCCAGCGTACAACTAAGAAGTCATGACACCAACAATTAACGACAAGTCATATGATTAAGATGTCATGTAGTAGACCTAAGCAAAGCACTGCCGAATCTCATCTCTCTAGCGTACATTAAATATTCAGATCGTCGTCAAAAAGAACTTTCGCATCATTAGATATTTTTTCCAACTTGTGCTACCATATAATACCAACGATGGATAATAGTTGAGCAAATGTATGGAAGTTGCAGCCAAAAATGTCGCACGAAGATGAAAAGGAGTATCTAATTTGTAGGAAATTGCCTCTTTGTAATTTTAAATATTACTTTTACTTAAAATTTGCTGGATAAAAGAACATAAGTTTTTTTTAAAAAAAAATCGGCCAACGAGTTTGTGTGAAACCTAAGTACAAGCCCGAGTAGGTCGCCCACAACTGGGGACTTTACCAGTGCGCTAAAATTTTCAGTTTGTTAATAGTAGATGGCAGCGCGTATCCATGGAAAGGGAACATCCTGTCAATTTTCTCTTCTTCCCTTATTTCTCTGCGTCTGATGATATATTGACATGTGGACTGCAAATTGGATCTTGTTATTTCTAATGGTCTCCAATTTTCTAAAACCATTATTTCGATCTCCATCTTGCAAGAGTTGAGCAAGCTCTTTCACGTCTTTCCTCATTCACCAGAATCAAAGTTGAGTTGGATGTTTGAAGTGGTGAATATCCTATTTCCTCTGGTCAGTAGTCATGGTCTCACTGGTCTTTTCTTTTTTTTTTCTATTTTCAACTGGACCCTACTCTTGTTAGCTTGTCACTATGGCCTTTTTGTATTTGAACTTGTTTACTTGATTATGTTGAGCTATGAAATGGTAGTACACCTGCAATTATTGGGTCTCTTTATATGTTTATTATTGACCATTGACACGTTGAAAGGTGGTTCCTACATCAATGCATTTTTTAAGAGCAAGTTTAACAATGTAGCTAAGTGCTAGCTTCAAAAATGCTACATTATCTATAACCAACCTAATACTTTATTAATTATGAATATATACTACCTCACATGTCCTAAAATATAACAAATTTTAGCCTTTATAATTTATCCTATAATATAATAACATCTAAATCAACATTCTATTCTCAACAACCACAACCTTCCACCATTCAATTTCCCTACCTACCTTCATTTCTCAACCAATCAAAATCTTCCACCATTTAATTATATATACTTTCTTAATAATTATGTTTAACTCTAAAATTTCTTATATTATGAGACGGAGGTAATACATCATCAATACATGGCTCATCTCTCTTTCTCACATGGTTTATTAGGGTTGTATTGTAGCTGGTTATAAATTTGATCTCATTTTTTCATTGCCCTCTCTGCATATAAATATAAGAGTGATAATTTTTATGCCTGTTTGTATCATTTTGTTGCACTAAATAACAACGGATACTTCTACTGTACACTGTGTAGTGAGCAGGGATGCCCAATAGTGAGAGTGCGATATGCAGCTCTACAGTTCCTCACCTCTTTTGGCAATAGATACAACAGCAAGGAGTTGCTCTTTGGGGAAATGAAGGGATACCATTGCATAAATTAATCGTTCTTTGCCCAGGCGTTCTGATGCCTCCATCACATGACCTCACAAAGAACCAAACGAGCATTTTGGATGCATTGCAACTCCATTGCCAGGAAGAAAGTACACCAAATGCTGACACAAGAGCTTGGCCTGGAAGAGGATTCCCCTCATGTCATTTGTTTTGTTCAAAAAAGTGACTTTTGCTGGCAGTTTTGTATGACAAAACCATTCAATTTCTCTCCTTGTTGGGAGAAAGAACAAAGTAGGGAGAATCTTAGGGAGGTTGGTCATCAGCATTGCTGGCGGTTGATGCGGTTGAATATTGCGACCTTGATGCGAGAGCATTTGCTCAAGGAAGGCATCTGGTGCTGCTTATGGCAGAAACGAGAGATGCATCTTATTTGGTTAGAAAGCCAGCCACCGAAGAAAAAACGATGTGGAAGATTCGTTCGTCATGTAAGAAGATATTTGATGAGCTCCTGAAAACTCATGTTCTCTCTTGAGTTTACCTGGCCGAGAAGGTAGAGTTTGTTGGACTTAATTCAGCCCATGGCTGGATGCTCATACATGTTCGGAAAAAAAATCCACTTTACGTCTCACAAGTTTGGCTGTTTGAGTCAACTTTCATTTATGCCCATCAACTATAAAACTGGGTATAAAACATCCTTCAACTATCAAAACCAATGCAAATCAAATCTCTCGACAATATTTAGAGTAGTTTGGGTTGATGTGGCATCATAGTTAGTAAAAAGAAAATAAAAATACATAGGGACCCACATGTAAGTGGCGGTCGGTTCACCTTCTTCCTCCCTCCCCCTCTCTCCAGGGAAAATCTACAATGAAAATTATCGGATGTCCTGAACCTATCAATCATAAGTATAATGCTTTATTTTTGTGCTAAAATGTGTCCTATGTATCATATGGATTGTACTTGTATGTAGATCTGCTCCTGCCTCTCACTTTAACCTCTCCTCTCTCTTCTCTCCCTGTGGGCATTGTTGACGAGGACGACCGTATGCAGGACAATGTCACTGTGCTTATTGCTCCATCCAAACGATGTAGCCGTCGCCGGATGTGCCACTTGCGTGGCCTTCTCCCTCCACCATTTAGGTTGTGCGTGAGCGCATCGTTTGCACCCCTTGATTTCATTGTCGACCGGCCACAGCGCGACAGCCACGATTGCATTGTCACATGTTCTCAACCTTGTCTCTCCGTCCATGGATCGGACTGGCCTAGCAGTTGGGGGTAGGTCATGCAAGGAGGGGTATCGCTGTTGGGAGAGGAGCCAAGAGTAGTGCCCCTCATGGAGAGGGATTGGCAAAAGGACTCAATTTGGTGACGGGTGCCGTCGATTGATGTTGTTGTTAATGCGAAGTAGTAGATCTATCGAGATCAAGAGCGACGACAACTGTGAGGGGGTGGACCAGAGCAGCTTGTGGATGTCCTAAAAGAGAGTGGTTGAATTGTTTCCCTCACTGGGTTTTGGGGTGGCAGGAGAGGAGGGGGAGCGAGAGGAATCATCATGATCGTTAGGCGGTGGTGGGGGAGGAGGGAAGAGAGGGTTGTGTGTGAAGAGGACAAGGAAAAGGCCCGAAGGAGGAGAAGCTTCTTTTGAAGGTTGATGCGGCAGAGCACCATGGCGGTGGCAGCATGTGACTACTGGCCCAATTAGGATTGACTTGTGTAGCCCATGAAAATTGTATGCACATGTTTAATACCACATTGCTAATTTAGTAAGGGTGAAATCAACTTATAAGAGTTTATCCATCCAACAATATAACTCTTTGGTTTATCCTTTTACATGAGACTAAGGATGGAAGTGTAAGTAAGTCCGCTCGTTGGATGGGTTGGGCTGCACCTACGCGGTTCTAGAGGGCGGGTAGTAGTGGTACAAGAGTACTAGTCAGGACCAACGCCTAGCTCCAACGATCAGCGCTAGCCGCCTTTCTTCCCACCATGGTCGCTTATGTAGCGACATCCCCGTGCTCGGCAGTGCCGCCGTATGGGTTGCGACCAACATCAAGCCGTACTACCCCATCATGGGACATCTCTCTTGTGGCCATCTACAACGAGATCATCAGCACGATGATGAAGAATGCCTTCATCACCGGTCTCATCCCCGTCATATGCATCCTTATCTCCAAGCCACACTCCCTCAGCAACGTGTTCATCTCTGCACCACCATTAGCTAGTTGGTTTCTCGACGTCCTTGACTGTCTCGTGTTAGGGCTGATGCTCGAGTTCCACCACACGACGAGATCGACGTTCGTCAACCCCTACCTACTTCAGTTACAACGACAACACGATACCATACATGCTAGCATGTGGGTCCCATCAAGTTTTTTTTATTTTTTGTTTCTAGTGCCATGTATGCGTCATGTCGGACGAAGACTAAGTCAACAAACCATATAGGCACCACGTTAATTTGCACTGATTTTGTAAATTGGGGGACGCTCCACACCTGGTTTTGGAGGCGAGCGACGCGAATGAAATTAGACCATATAGTTGAGGGATAATAATTGGACTTTTACCTAGATGTTTCGAAAACATTGTGGAATCATAAAATGAAGGCCCAACATGCGTTGCAAAAGTTGCCGGCCTGCAGTTGCGGCCCATCGAAATCAGTCCACTGTTTTATTCGGCCATATGAGGCCTTCGATTCAGCCGGCGGTCGCCCCCCGTTTTCGCCATGTTGCGGAGATACCGGGCAGTGCGGCGTGCCGCCGCCGCCGGATGTCGATGGTGGCGAGTCAGGATGGCGGCGCGGCCCGAAACAGCGGCTACACAGTTGAAAGGTAATAAGGATTTGGCCGAGCCGTGCGAGTCGCTGGCGTTGACGACGCAAATTGACGCGACGCGAGCCCAATACTCCCCGTATATATCTCCAGTTTGCACGACCAACTGCCAGCTGCAAAAGGCGAGAGTTCAGTGGAAAAAACAGATGGTCGCTGTTCAGACCGTGCATGCGGCGCTCTTGCCGTCGACGACGACGACGCGCAGGCGGCCATCACCGGGTAGGCTACCGAGGCGTTCCCCCATCCGCGCACGAGCCGGATCGTCCGAGACATCGTCGCCACGCGGCCGCGAGAACTGGCGGGTGCAGGAGGCGCTCGCACGGGTCGCCGAGATCCAGGTTCTGAAGGTCCGCATCGCCAGCTTCCTCGACGACTGCTCCGAGAACCTGCTCTGGCTCGCGGAGAACGCAGCGCTCGACGCGACGGCACAGGACAGCCTGAGGGTGCTCGACCTCGACGGCGCCGCCGACGATGAGGTGAGAGCGGCCGTTTCTTGCAATTAACACATGGCCGGGGAGTTAACACATGACACGTTCGTCCGTGGTTGCTTTTCTGCAGATAATGGAGAGGCTGTACTGTAAGTTGGGTCGTTCGACGACGCGCAAGCAGAGGAGAAGTGGATGGACTTGATCGGCTTGGGCATAGACGAAGGTGTATCCGTTGAAAGCATCGGTGAGGAAGCCAAACATGAACATGTGCTGGTGGCAAGGGAGAGCGGACGGTACAGGACTCGCAGGAACGTTTACCTCGGTGTCATGGGATTGATCTGGGTTGGCCTGATGCAGACCACCGTGTTCGCGGCGCCCAACGTGGAGTTGGACAAGTTTGCGGCCCTGTGTCTCATCTTTCTTGCCCATATTGTTCAGGTCTGCTTCAAGGAGGAAACTGATAAGAAACAAGTGTGTGTAAATCATGAGACTCAGATCAGCGGAAGGCAGCGGTAGACTCCAATCATTTGGTTTGGTTTAAAGTAGACAGGGATATGACAGGCAATTTGGACAGTAATGATATGTTACATGTAATAACTTTACACGTCGTAAAATTATAGCGGTTGATATAGTTTACTTAACTGTCTGGTAACCAATGGACAATATCCTTCTCTTTCTTCCCCCTTCTCCTTCCAAGTTATTTTAGCCTGAGTTTGATTTGGAGATGAGTTGTGATGGTTTAACCCTATCCTTATTTTTTTTTAGAGATTTGCTCCGGTCCAACAGGTATAGGTACGTCACAATACCAAATCGTTTTTCGATCGTTGGATCTAACAATTTGGATGAGTTGTGATCGTTGGATAGGCATTGTTAGATCCAACGATTGAAAACGACTTGGTTTCATGAGGTACCGGTATCTCAAGATATTTTTTGCTGGATTAGAGCAAATCTCTATTTTTTAATAAGAAGGTTTCATCTATTTATTTGGCGCAAGAGATAGAATGATCATATTTTTTAAAAGAAATGGGAGGGTGGTATGTATATCAATGAGAAAGATAAAGAAGCTGATCCGGATTTAAAGGAAATATTCTTTTTTATAGATTATTTCATCCTAACTATTCTCAAACCAAACTCTATAAAATGGGTTCGTCCCGACCGATCATGTAATCATGTTCTTCTAACCAAACACATGCTAAACTCTATAAAATGGGTTCGTCCCGACCGATCATGTAATCATGTTCTTCTAACCAAACACATGCTTTAAATGGAGCCAGCTGATTAGGAGTCACCTGGACTCCAATGCCTAGTAGTCAATGTTAGTAAATGCTTTTGATTGCCTGAGCTCGATGATGTTGTTGGCTTTACCACTACTAGTAAATCTCCCAATGCAAATAGATAGTGTTACATGTAGACTTCCGTATTCCCTCCGTTTAAAAGGAACCAATTTCATCACTAGTTAGGAATTAGTTCTTTTGTAACGGAGGAAATATTGTTTGGCTATGTAAGAGTGCGCAGCCCGGCCCACCAACCGTAGACCACCCAGGTTATATTGGGCCTGCTCCACCACAAGCCCAACCGAAGCCACAACTTTAGGTCCGCCCGGCACACCAACCGTGGACCACCTAGGTCATATTGGGCCTGCTCCACCACAGGCCCAACCGGAGCCACAACTTTAGGTCCTAGGCCTATACAACCCAAAAAGACTAGTCATCGTGCTCCTCCATCATCAATTACCGATGTGGGACTAAACCCAACGTCACACATCAACATCAACCCATGTGACCCCGAAGACTTGTTATCTAGCCTCCCCACCATGTGACCCATAAAAATTGTTCCGGGTTCCAAACCTCCCCACCATGATACCACATGTAACCCATAGAAATTATTCCGGGTTCCAAAACTCCCCACCATGATACCACATGTAACCCATAGAAATTATTCCGGGTTCCAAACCTCCCCACCATGATACCACTTGTTGCAGCCTGCTCCAGCACAGACCCAACCGGAGCCACAACTTTAAGTCCTGGGCTTACACAAATCAAAAGACTAGTCTGATGGGTGGGGATCGCCCCCACCTTTTAAATCGTGCTCCCCTATCATCAATTACCGATGTGGGACTAAACCCAACAGGCTAGCTAGTAACCATGGTCGTTTTTGTCTCTTCCCGAACTGAATCTTGACACGTCAAATCCGGACATCTATGTCCGTATCCAATGTCCGTACCCCAAAAAAAAGAAATTGTTGGGTCAGTACAACACGGTGTCATATCGGAAGTTCCGAACCAAGTTCCACACTTTCACTGTTTTCACCCTGCTGACTGGGCCTTGTGGCAAGCAGGAGCACATGCCGGCCCGTCCCGCCGTGCACCCGCGCGCGCCCACGAAACACAACACCGCCGCGGCGTTACGGCCCAAAACAGGGAGCCCCATCCGCCGCCTCCTCGTCATCCGGCGGCGCCGCGCGGCTGTACGCCTCACGAGAATGATAACGACTTCTGCTGATCCGCCGCGTCCCTTTCGTACGCCATCCAGGCCCCGGGGGGATAGCATACGCTGCGGCGCCGATCTGCAGTGCCCGCCGCCGCCTGACATTCTCACCTCTCTGCTGCCTGCTAATTCATCGGCCGCCACCTTGTTTTTACTGCCATGCATGTAGCAGTGGTAATTACAGTATGTCGGTACACTCATTGTCATGCAGTAACAGCCAGGAGAGTTCTGACTGCGCCCATGTGATGAACTGATGATGGGGTTTGATTTCTCCCTGCAGATACTACTACTGCAGTACTGCTATCGCTAAACATGAGAGGGATCGGGGCCCCTTTCTCCTACGTCCAGTCCAATTCAGGTGCGCTTTTTAATTTTTCGAATTGCCGAATCATTCCTTGCATTTTTTTTCTAGTACACATCTAGGCAAATTAGTTACAGTATGTAACCTGAACAAGAATTTCCTCCTATCTAGAAGTGCATAATTAATTAGCATACTTTATGTACCGGAGAAACGTTGGTTTCTAGATAAGTTCGGAAGAAAAGATTTATCATCCGTGGAAAGAATTAAAAGTTTCCCCTTGGTACGCACTCTTCGTTTGCTTCACGATATGTTCAGTGCTGGAGAAGCGTTCAGCATTCATCTACAGCATCCTTTGATGGCTCATGATAGCTTTCATAGGAAAGGCCAAGCAAAGTATCGAGCATGGACGGACGAGCACATTGCACCCACAAACCACACCAACTCTCTCACTCTCAGCCACAGGAGCGAGGCGTGTCGAGACGCTCTCGATGGCACACGAACAGCAGCTACTCCAGCTCGCACTGATCCGAGCCGAGCATCCGATGCAGAAAGTTCATGATCCCCTATGATTGTACACCTCTCGGTCCTGTTTGGCGAAGCTTAAGATTCTGAGAAATAGATGATTGGTAGCCAGTTTCTCAGAATATGGAAAAAGTGGGTTTCCCAGTTTCTGATTTTTAGTTCATTTTCTAGATTTTACAACTATATCTTTTTAAAATTTAATATAGGGGAGCTTTTATTCTATAAGCTCCCAAGCAGGCCCTCATTATCTCTCTGAAACTCTGCAGTACGTGCAAGGCAGCAGCGCAACACCAACATGCGTAGCAGAGGCATCAGCAGCAGCAGCAGCAGCATCAGCAGACAGTGCACCCGAAATCCAAGCGGGAGGCAATGATTAGGGGAAGGAAAATCCGGGGGGATGAAAAAAAAGGTTAATCTTTTTTTGCGCTCGTATGATTCGATGCGTAAAAGGGATCTTTGATCGTGGTAAACCATCATCATGAGCGATTAGTAGCGGTAGTAGGCGCCTCGAGATCCGCGCTGGGCCGGAGATGCCTTCCATGATGCTGCTGGGCGCCGATGGATCATGGATGGGAGCCAAGATGATCTGCCTGCTCCTCCTCGGCTCCTCTTTACCATTCTGCATCTCTATGCTTTGCTGTAGTATAGCCTAGCTTTCCTCGACTCTGCTTTGCTAGGGGGCATTTAACTATCTGCCACTTTTATTACATGGTAATTAAAAATTTATTACTCGCAGTCTATAACGAGCTAGCTGGGCTCCTTTGAGCATGTTATCTTAACGAGTTAATTTGGCTTGATTCATTAATCTTAATGAGTTAAAAGTCTAGCTTAGTTCTTGAGCGGTCTAGTTAAATTCGTTAGTTTTGTTGACGCGTTAATTATATAAACCTAATAATTTTAAATTTTATTATTATCTCATATACTAACTTAATACTCCCTCCATTCCAAATTGATCTACATATAGTTTTTTTAGATTATTCCTAAATAATCTTCACATTTGTCTTCATTTATTAAGTCTATTCGTTATTTGTGCGTTGGAGTAAATAGACATTAATGCATGCATCCATGCACACAAGTATTTATAGCCCACAAGCAATATCTTAATTTGCTATTGGCTAGAAAATATTGGGGATGGTACATGCATCGAATGTATTGCTAGAGTAAATATAGTATGAGAGAATTATTAGTTTTTCTTGGTTTTGGTGTACCTATTAAATATGTAGATCAATTTGGAATGAAGGGAGTACCAAATACTAACTAATAACTCACTTAAATATAAATAGTTTGGATGACTAATCACTAGTTAAGACACACTAACTATATAAAGATATGATGATGATAGTCTATATCAATGAGCTAAATGAGCATCATGCGAGTTGGCTCGTTATTCACGAGGTAAAAACTTAGATTTGTTTGACTCATTGTAACTCCAGTTCTAGCCAATCCAGCTTCGCTCGCTACGAACCAATCCGAGCCATAAGTTTCGAGTTTTGTTGAATAATTTGACGATGAAATTTTGATAGCAAATAATAGTTATAGTGAAGTTTGTCCGGGTTCAAAAAGTTATCTAGCTCCGCCGCTGGCCGGCTGCTGCTAGAACAGTTCTACCGTCTACGAATCTACAGGGCAGTACACTACTTCCACTCAACTGCTACTACTGCATTGTTCTCTACCGCCTAGTATGCTATACAACGCACGAATGACTTGTGGCCGGGGAAAGGGTGGTGATTAAAGCTGGTGCAATGCAATACATGCATGCACTCCTCTTTGCTCGCTTTTTCTACCCCCACTTTGGTTGGGAGCCTTTGAACCCCAGTGTGGCATGCAGCAGCAGCTGATGATTCCCATGCAAATATACTCCAAATCTGCCTTTGTGAGGATGTGTTTGTTGCTAGCTACTGCTACCATCTCTCCCTCATGGGCCACATCCCCGGCCTCCTTTGTGAGCTCCAAGGCATGCTGTCCTCGGCTATTATTTTCAAGCTCCAGCAGAGCCGCATGCCAATTGCTAATGCTCCATCATTGGGCCTATCTGCTGCTGTTTCATTTAGACCTGTTTCAGGTTCAGGCAGTCACACATGCTACTCCAGATTCTTTTAACCGAGCATCATAAGTCATTTGGTAATTTAGTATAGCCGTGCTGCAATTATGGTTGCAACTTCAACATGCTCGTATGAGTATTTAGCGTAGAAATCCGGGGGATCTTCGCGTAGAAGAACTTTCTGCGCCTGTTAATAATTATTAGCTACTCAAGTTATGAAAGTTCAGTATTGTTTTTCCTCTTGATCTTTATACGTGCTTTCGATCAAAGTTCATTCTTAACCATCCACTTGCGCATTATTGGAAAAATTGAGGACGAGAAAAGGCT